GCAGACAGACAACAGAGTTGGAAACAGTGGCTCTGATTACATGTGAGACACTCTCTCCCTCGCCCCTTTGCATTTGGGACTCCTGGAGAGACACAGAAGAGGAAGGGCTGAGCTTTTTTGCTGGCCATCCTATGTAGGGACATACGAAGGTCTTACAATTAAGTTCGTGAATTCATCCTAGAAAAAGTGCTACATACCTCATTGCTGAATATCATTACAATCACCTTCGAAGTACTCCCCTTGGGAAGCTATGCACTGACACCAGCGCCTAATCCACCCTTCAAAGCAATTTTGGAGCTCTTTTTCTGGAATGGCCATCAGAGCTGTCATCATATTACCCTTAATGTCCTAAATGTCATCAAAATGTCTTTCTTTCAATGTTTTCTTTATCTTCGGGTACAGGAAGAAGTCATTGGGGGCCAGATCAGATGAGTAGGGAGGGTATTCCAATACAGTTATTTGTTTACTGGCTAAAAACTCCTTCACAGACAGTGCCATGTGAGCTGGTGCATTGTCGTGATGCAAGAGCCATGAATTCATGAATTGTTGGTGAAAAGTTCAGGTCATCTAACTTTTTCATGCAGCCTTTTCAGCACTTCCAAATGGTAAACTTGGTTAACTGTTTGTCCAGTTGGTACAAATTCATAATGAATAATACCTCTGATATCAAAAAAAGTTAGCAACATTGTTGCAACAAGTTCACAAACTTGTCATCCTTCTATTCACATTGTGAAACAGATCTCTGTAACTTTCTCATCTTGCACATCTGAAACTCTATACCCATTAAACAACAACTCATATCTTCACTTTTATGTGCCCATAGCATCTATAATAGCGCCTGATCCACAGTAGGTACTCAATACATATTTGCTAAATAAATGAATGTGGAATCCAAAGATGCCCTAAACCCGACTCATATGTTGGTCCTAGGTAAGGTCAGTATCACAGTGGTTTTCAATTTATTTTACTCTTCAACAAACCTAAGAAAACATGACATATTCACAACAGAAACAATGGCAGGCAGCCTTAGTGAATTACAGCCTGTAGAATGGGGGAACATGTCCTCCCACAGAGGCATATCAGAATCTTGAGGGTAACGTAGCTTGAAAAGTCCCCTAGGCAAAGTGAAGCTTGTTCCTAGATACCAGCTCTGACAATTAAGTTGGGTCTTAGAGCAACAGACAAATCCTTCCAAATACACCCCCTATGTACTGAAGCTAGGCACAATTATTCTCTGCTGTTTTCCACAAAATAACTTCAATTAAAACCAAACCAGAAGTGCTCCTTCTGGGAAATAAAAGTTATCAATTTCTACAAAGCAAGTTTAGCAGAGTGTGGTGAGAAAGAATACAGTTGTTATCATTACACACCCATAAATGAATGAATGAATGACTAAAATTAAAGTTGTCAATTGATTGAGGACTTGCGGGTGATAGAGGAGAGGTCTTCAGTCAGAAAATAACATAGGTGGTTTATTGGTTAATTTATAGATTAACATAGCAAACTGTTGCTCCATGAGCAAACATTTCACTCTGAAGGAGCTGCTTGTTGCTTGTTACAGGCATGTGTTATTTTCCTACTGGATGCATGGGGCCAAGGAGGAAGAAGTGTGTATAGCCCAAACTATACGGGGTTCCTGCCACATTCTCCTGGCGGTTATTCAGTTGCAAAATCTAATTGATCTAAGAAGATTGGGAGGAACCTGGAGGAGGCTGTGGCTCCAAGCTGACGGTGCAGTTGTCCCTCTGGCAGCCTGTGCTGGGGATGCCAAAAAGGAAAAAGATGTGTGTTTATAGCAAGAGAGAAGGGAGCAGCTCAGGAAGCTCCCTTGTGGGAAATGATCCAACTGGGTCAAGATTCCGCCACAATTTCTTGCGGAAATTCTGAGGACCTGAGATCACTGCAACATGCGGAGAGACTGCCGAAGCGGGGACTGGAGAGACGCCTTAATGACTGCTGGGCACAGGCTGTGTCCCTGGAAAAGGGACTCTGTTCACCCAATAGGCTATTTCTACCCAGAGTCTGGCACAGAGCCACTCTTAGCAGAGTTAAGTAAATGTTTCCTGAACCAGGGATGCAAGGGCGGAGAGAGGGCGAAGGGCAAACCGCGCAAAAGGCAGGGCCAATAGCTCCGAAGGCCGCTGAAAAAATCAGGGCTTGGGACCCAGGAGAGGCCTCGCATGATTCCTCGAAAACCCCGCGGATTTCCGGGTAGGAAGTCAAAGGGCGGGCACAGAGGCGCTCATGGGCTTAGAAACTGGAAAGGACGAAGGGGACTTGGCAGATTTAGCGGTCCAGGACCGAGCTCACCCAGGAAGCGAATCTGAGACATAGGTTCCAGGCTTCGGTAGGGAAGAAGAATTGTATTTCAGGCCGGCGGCACTGAAGCTGTTGCCAGGGAATCGGAAGAAGGTGGAGCCGAGCCTAACTGACTGACAGAGACCATGCTCCTGACTGGCTACATCCCACAGGGGCGTGGCTTGCCTGTGACTGACAGAATCCCGGAGTGGGGCTGGTTTGAGACTGACAAGCTTGACTGGGAGGAAATGAGGGAGTGGGGGTGGGGGGCGGCTTGGCTCTGACCCGTAGGGCACCGGATCCGGCGGGACTAGGCTAGTCTGGCATGAACCCACAGGGCCAGAGCTGAAGCTGGTCCTAACTATTAGGGACTAACCTGTCCCTAAGATGCCGGCCTCAGTCCCAGTGACCCGGGAAAAGAGCAGATACATGGCCCCCTTCCTATAGCTAGGCTAAGCCAGCGCTCCAGACCCAAGCCGTTTTTCTCCTTAGACTCTGGGCTGAGAGAGAGGGAGGGTTGTGGTCTTTCTTAATAATGGGCCGGGTGGAAGCTCTGAAGTAGATGAGGCCAGGCTAGGGGAAGAAAACACAGGAGGGAGGCCAAGGATACAGATGCAGGGTACCAGAAAAGTTTCCTGGAGTCTGGAACACTAGGAGGAAAACAGGAGGCCCAAGAACGGGGCAGACGACTTTCCAGTGAGAAAAGTGCTACCTCTGCCCAAATGCTGACTTCCAAGAAAAAGTCTAAGTATGTGAAGGCAGTTTGGAAACCGTACTTGGCTAGGATTTGCCTCTAGGGAGCCAGTGAAGTTAGCCTAAAGCTATTTTTTTTGCTTTGAGGAGCTGGTATGGAAATAGGAAGGAAAGATGGCAGGAAAGCATTCCTTCCTAACTGGTCCACTGATGCCCCGGCCAGTCTCCTCTTTGACATGGTTTAGTGTTCTCTGCGAAGCACAGATACTTCGGTTATAAAATGTTCTTAATGGCTTTGTTTTACAGAGTTTCCTGCACCTCACTCCCCAGGTGGGTTTATCTTACACAGATTTTCCAGTAAAAGTGCAAGGCCTCTTTGCAAGACGATTACCAAAGGTCAAAGGTGTAACTGCAGAAAGAGGTTTCAAGCGTTGACCCAGGGCTCCAGTGTCCCTCAGTCTGTCCTGAGATCCTGGGGCTCCTCCTGTGTCCAGAAGGGGTAAGGTGCCGTCGGCCATGACTTGGCAAGTAGAACTGTTGAGGCAAGGAAGTTCTCTGGCCTGGCTGGCTGGCAGGTGGCAGGAGGCCAAGAGAAGCCAGATCAGGACATCCCAGGACAGCTAGTCCAGACTGGCAGAAGAGGATAGAAATGAAACTGGTTTTCTATGTCATCAAGAATGGGAATCTTTGCTTTTACCCCTTCCGCTATAAACCCCCAAGCGTGGACACTCTTCAGCAGCTTTTGTAGAAAGGTCTGTGAACACTTGTGGGCCTGTCAGTTTTGCCAGCCTGGAATGTCAAAGGGACTAGGAAAATGACTTCACGTTTGGCTGGCAGCTGGCAGGCGAGGAAGAAGCATGGCATAGTGGCTTCAGTCACACAGGGCTTGAATCCTGACTCCACTACCTCCTAGTTGTGTAGCTGTGGGCAAATTTCTTAATGTCTTTAAGTCTGTGTCTTTGCTAAGAATGAACATAACATGTTTGGTCTCACAGGAGTGGTTGTGAAGATCAAAAGTAATAATGGACTTAAAGCACTTTGCTTCATTAAATCTGGCATCACATAGTAGGACTCAGTACACAGTAGCTGGTGTCACTGCCACTACCACTGCTTACACAGCTTCTACTTCCCAAGAGGAGTGAGCGAGCCCAGGCCAAAGTAGTAGGTTCACTTCAGGCTGCTATGGGACCATTCAGCCCTAAAGATTCCTCCCCATCACCTAGTGTGAGAGCTTTGGGCTAAACAAAGGGAGATGAGAGGTATTTCCTGCAGGGAGTAGGGAATTAATTTTATTATAGATTCATTCATATTTATTCTTTTGAATCTTCCTAAGCCAAGACTTAGGGTGACAGGCAACTATAAACTATTTAATAGTAGCTCTCATTAGCTGTACATAGGCGTGAACTTTTGGCCTAAGCTTTTCCAGAACAAAAAAAAAGGGTGGGGAGGCATTTACATAAGCTGTAGACAGAGTAGAGGACTCTGGAATAGGGGAAGGGGTGTTAAGTGGCAAATGGTCCCTGCCAGACTTGTTTCTGTGTTATAGCAATGGGGGCATAGAGGGGTGTGGAGGGTGTGTTGGTGCCCTAACAACTTCTCTCTGATGAAGGGGTAGTCCTTAGCTCTTTAGACTTCTTCTATACAGAGGCCTCCCTGGGGACCAGAGGCCACCACCACATGTCAAATGCCCGAAAGGAACCAAGAAGCCCAGAGCCTGAGTAGGTATGTAGGTACGTGATCAGCCCCCTCCCACCTCGTGAAGGAAATGAAGCCAGGACTCCATCAGCTGAGGGAATAGAAAGTGGAAGCATCTGCCTACATCCCCTCTACTTTAATACTCAGGGTGCTGATGGAAGACTGATTTTCTAATCTCAGAGCGCCCTCTGCTGGGAGCTGAGGCTCCCTACAGAAGGGGAGAGAAGAGACTAAGACCTGGACTTTGTGAGGAGAGAAGGGAAGGCCACAGGCATTAGGCTATTATTCCTAGGCACTCAGGACATGGAATCCAGTGAAGATAAAAAAGTAGACAGATTTTCAGTTTATTGATTAACAATGGCATCATAGCTTTTACTACTGGTGGCGGTTGGTTGGGTGAGCAGAAAAGGACTCTGAGAGGATCCCTGTGGGGGCCTTCAATTCTACCGCTCCAGCCAGAAGTCATGGGAGTTGGAGTCAAGGTCCAGCTCTGCACTCTGTGAGCTTACCAGCACATACTCCATCCCCAAGCTCACCTCTCCTTTGGACCAGATGCTGATACCTGGGCCCCTTCTCCTCTTGGGGGTGGGGACTATGCTGGGAGCAGGGCCAAGCCTCAAGAAACAGAAAGAGCTAAGGTGGGGATTCTGCTGAATGTGTAACAAGGGTCAATGGAACACAAAATTCCCTGTCTTAAGATTGTACCCTTGGGGCCTAGTTGCCCTTGAGGATGTACTGGTTACACCCACTTGGATACCTGTGGAGTTTAAGCACTGTTCCCATAGCTGAGTCCCTCTGTAAGAGGCTGCAGTGGGAGCTCTTAAAGGGGAATGCTTCTCTGCCTTTGTGGCTTTTTAATTGAGAGAGAGGATTGGAGTTTAGATTTGAGGTTATGCTGTCAGAGCAGACCAAGAACTCCTAGGATTGCGCCTTAAGATGCCCACATTGCAGTGTGGGACTGCGGGGGTGGGGGGTGGGGTGGGGGGATAGCAAGAGCAGTGCAGGATACTGACACCCCTTTGCTTTGGTAGAGAAGAGGAAATGATGTAGTCCAGGATGTGGGGGATGGTATAAGACCCCTGCCTCCCTTAGCCTGACATGTCTTCCTCTGCCAGTTCCTGAGTCAGCTTTGGGAGCCAGGAAGCAGAAATCCGAAGGATTCAGCCCAGTTTGTCTGCTAGTGTCCCTCAGTCTGTCCTGAGATCCTGGGGCTCTTCCTGTGTCCAGAAGGGGTAAGGTACTGTCAGACATGACTTGGCGAGTGAAACTGTTTAGGCAAGGAAGTTCTGTGGCCTGGCTGGCTGGCTGGCAGGTGGCAGGAGGCCAAGAGGAGAAGTCAGCTATCAGGACATCCCAGGACAGCATGCCTGCTCCTAGCTTCCAGGACAGCATGTACACACACATATCGCATATGTACATAAGTGGACACACTAGCACAGGAGAGATTACGTGACCCTATTCTTTGAAAACAGAGAGGAGAGAAAAAGGCTTATAAGGGTACCTTCCCCAGCCTAATGGATTACTGGTCTCGATCGCTGCTCCCTACCAAGCCCCCTGCCCAGTACCAGGCAGAAGAGAAAGTGGCAGGATGGCAAGGCTCCATTAATGCAGCAGCATAAGGAGGTGAGGGAGAAGCCAGGGAGGACCCTCCCTCAGAGCCCCTTGTTGTAGTAAACCACTTCCATGCTGGGGTTTTGCTGATGGATCTGAGCTCTCAGCTCCGGCTCCAGCCTGCTCACATGTATCGAACTGCAACAGAACAGCACAGGCAGGCTGAGTGTCCCCTGAACCCAACCCCCGTCAGGCTAAAGGATCCCTAATCCTTCCTCTTCTCAAGCTGAAGAGTCTTCTCCATTGAAGACCAGAAGGCCCAGATCACTGTCATTCCCCCGCCCCCAGTATAAGCTGAGTATCTGGCAGGCTTCTTCCCAGAACCCTAAGGTCAGCTGGTTCCAGAGATGTGATGACGGGAGCCAAGCCTGGGGCAGGGGGCAGCACTTACCTTCTCTGGGGGAACAGGGCACAGCACAGGGGGGTGGCAAATACCAGGCTGGGGAGAAGAATGTTGGAAAGGTTTGTGAAGCTTTGACCTAAGGTGTTCCCTTCCTGCCCCCCACCCCATTTCTGGAGACTGTCCCTAGGGGTGGAGACTGATTCAAGTCAACAGTGGCATTAGGTTCTGGCTGAGGAAAGAACCTCCAGAATAGTGACTCAGAGCTCCACAGCCAGCGAGTGAGACAATCAGGAATTCAATGTGCATGAAACTCCTGGATGGTACAAAAAGGTAAATTTTCATGGTTTCCTCTTATAGATGGAAGCCTGGAACCCCTTCAACTATACTCTTGACCTTCAAGGACAGGGATCACCCCCTAACACACACAGTATGCCCTATGTGTGCCCAAGAACCCTACCTACTCAATGTGTGACTGAATGATGTATGTAAACATCTTAAAAGCAATAAATACCCGCCCACATCCCCCATGGAAAAGGCACTTCTACACACCCTAGCTAACTCCCTGCACACTTACCAGAAGCCCACCAGTCCCACCTGCAGGGGTGCCCCCAGCCAGGCACGGCGCTGTAGGGAGGCAGAGACAATGGAATGGCACGTGTTCCCTACCCCGACCCCATCTCACCCACCACAGCTCTATCCTATTAGACCTGCCTGTGAACCTCTGACACGTGGCCCTTTTCTTTCTCTCAAGACCATAACAGGGTTGGCATCTCCAGATCACCACCTTCTCCTCCAGCCAGGCCTGTTTGCTGACACCCTCCCTAGTGTCCCATCACCCATTCTGGTCTCTCAGAATTGGTTCCCATGCCACTCCTTGCCATTCTTTCTCTTCCCTCGCTTTCTCCGGGAGCTGCTTTCTTCAGGAAGCCTCCCTCCTCTGACCCTCCACTCACTTCCTCCTGTCCCAGTGGCATGAATTTGTCCCTTTCCAAATACATTTCCTGCTCTGCATACCCTGCTCGATTTGGTCCAGCCACAGGGACCACCATTCTGGTTCCTCCAATGTGCATAGTTGGTGTTCAATAAAAATTTATAGTCTGTCCCTGGTGTGTGTCAGAGGTCTCCGGTGTGACACCAGTTCCCTTTAGGATAGAAATCATTTCTTGTCTTTCCTTTTCTTCTCATCCTGTTCCCTCAATGTTCCTTCACCCCAAACCAATTTATTCTTGCTGAATGAAGAAAGGTAAAGGGCGCAGCACAGGAGTGGGGCAAACAAGTGGCAAGTCTTAGACTCAAGTCAGGCTGGAGAAGGGGTTGGGGTTGGGGTTGGGGACTTACTTCTGCTCCCAATAACCACTAATTCCAGGATAGAAGAGGTGAGAGTGACCTACCTTCAGGAAGTCTTTCTTCTCCAAAGTGTCCATGATCACAGGGGGAATAGCTGAAGGGGAGGAGAGGGGAGGGCAGGGAGGGAGGGAGTTAGTGGCATGACAGTTGGGACCCTAAGGAAGGGGGAATCCCCCTTCACAGTCCCTCCCACTTCCCCCTGGAGTCTTATGGCCCCCAGAGTCCTCAAAACCCCTGAAGAACTGTACCCCTTTCTCTCAAAGCCTCCTGTGCCCCACCCCTGCCTCACCCATGGCAGGAATCGCCATGCAGATTCTTGATATCACCACCTGGAAGATTCCCTGTTTGGCCGCGGTCACCGAGTGGCCAAGCCTCTGACCTGCCTCGTCAGTCACCGGGATGCCCACCTGTAGCTCCCTGAAAATGGAAGTGAGGGGAGTCAGATCCGAGGCCCCAAATCCTATCCGAAATGCTCGCAGGCAGCTATTCCCTGGGGACCCCTCAGACGTCCTAGATTCAAAGGCTCATTCTCCCACCCCAGTTCCCAGCATCAGACTGAGACTGGGCCCAGCAGCTCATGCTCAGGGAAGAAGAGCATGGTCCCCACTCTGGCTGGTCTGCACGGCTGGATGGTCTGCACGGCTGGACGGTCTGCCCACATGCACAGTGGGAGAACACATGCCCGGAGTCGGGGCCACTCACCTCTGCCTCATCAGAGGGATGTTGATGCAGTTTGCAGCTGCCACAGCTGCAAAGGGCACAAATCTGCCAACCAGGGGGGGTAGGTGCTGGGGGAGGAAAGATATCATTTAGTGGCCCTGAGGGCAACTGGGTGGTGAAGAACTTTGGGGAGACATATGGGGAGTCTGCAGGTTGGGATGGAGTGGTGATGGAGAAGAAGGAGGTGGATAAAGGATGACTGGGGACCAGTGGGATGGGGGCATTTACCTTGGTGAGGGATTTGAGACCCAGGGCTGTGGCCACAGCCCCAGTGGTGGCACTCACGTAAGCTGTTCCCAGCTGCCTATGGGTGGAAAAGCCACAACACAAGGGGGGAGGTAAGCAGTCCAGCATGTGGTTCTTTCCTTCAGGGACATGTGAAATCTTCAACATATGAGGTGTGGAAAAGTGGCCTCATTGCAGAGAAACGCCTCCCGGGCTCCAGTGGAGATTTGTCCGGAAGCCCCACTCCCCTTGAAGAAGAGTGGGCCCCCCAAAGCATACACAAGAGGGCCCCATAAGCTCAGGCCAGGAAAGTGGGGAAGGACAGGCTGAGAGGAGGGCATGGAGCCACCGGCTGCGTGGGCAGTGGGGGAACAGGCTCACACAGCAAAGAGCAATGGTGGGCCCGGAGAAGAGTCTTCGGGGATGACTCTCACCCCACGGTGATGGGAGCATCGCCACTGCGGTTGGAGTAGTTAACGACAGCATTGAAGGACTGATTCACCCACTGCCAGAACACCACAGTTGGGGTCTTCCTGAGGAAACAAAGACACTTACTTCTGCTTTCTCTAGTGTCCCTCATCCATGGATCCCAATAATGAAACCCCAAAGGTTATTCCCAGACCTTCAGGAGTGACTCTAGATCTTGCTCTGGTGACTCCTGCATGACCCTCCCCATTTACACAAACACCCTCACTGTCTCTAAGGTGGGAGGAGTTTCAGGGCTGAGTTCTGAGGGATGGAAGGGATTCTAACACAAGCTCTCACACACCCACCATTCTCTGTCCACAATGGCCCAGGGAGGAAGCATCTATGTCAAGTTACACTCTAGCTTGGGCAGAGTGCTCAGGAAGGGGACAAATGGGATAGGACCTGCCTGTAGAAGGTGAGCATGCAGCCAGTGATGGTCATGTTCATGGGCACCTGGGCTGACATGCGGCCAATCAGGACCACCTTCTCCCCGGTGTCTGGATGGAAGGCAGAGTCATACACATACTTGGCCCTCCACAGCTGGTCTTCGGTGAGCCCTGGCGTCACGACACCAGCCCTGTAGAGGTTAGCAGGGAGCAAACAGGCAATTCTAGTGGGGCAGATATGCCTTCCTAAGCCCCGCCCACATGGCTCAGGGGAAGTCTGGGCAGAGGACCCAGCACTTTGGTCCCCAATCTCAGAATAAAGAAGCTCCTTGTCTCTGGGGGAGAATCAAATCTTCCCAGAAAGGGGGCTCCTATTTCTGTTTTTCTTCTAGCTACACAAATAGGGGTGCCCTTGTATTTCTGCCCATATCCTGGGTCATGGGTAATGGTGGATTGCAATGGGTCAAAAATGGCAAGGGTTTTTCCTCCTGGAGACAAGGGGGATGCCCTCTTACCTCCTTGAGACTCAACTTTGAGACCCTCTGTCCTTGCAGAGGGTGGCTCAGCAGTGGGATGGGTCCCTATAGAGGGTTTGTGAGGCACAGAGCAGCCCCCCACCTATAAGTATCAATGCTACCTCCTAAACCCAAACACCCTAAAATCTTTTGGACTAAAGCTCTGTGCCATAGTTGTCCATGATTTCAAAAGATAAACCAGGGAGTGAGGGGTAGGACAGGGTCATTCTCAAGCTTGGGGAGACAGGTGGAAAAGGTTCTGTATTAATGGCAGGGAGTGAGACTCTGGATTACAGGGTCAGATGGGAAGAGGGGTCACCTGTAGTTCTGCACGATGTTCCGGGAAGCTTCCAGCTGTGCCCCAGACAGCAGCAGGTTTCGGGGGTCAGTAACAGTGAAGAAGTGCAGGGCTCTACCCAGGAAAGTGCTTTGGTCCCACCGAGGTTCCTGGATGTTGATATCTAATGGCAACTCACCCATTTTCTGCAGGGCAGGGACCAGAATCAGAGGACTCCAAGGAGGGTGTCCAAGGGCTCTACCTGGGAGAGCCTTTCGTGTCCTTGCCTGCCCTGGTCCCTGGGCCTATTGCCAATTCCTTCTAGAGCTCAAGGTGACTCCAGATAGGTAGACAACAGTGGGGGGAGGAGCTGTTTTCTAGGCAATGTCCTAGCCCAGGGACCTGCTGCCACTGCAGGAGACTGGGGGTGGGGTACAGACCCAGGAAAACAGACCTGGGGCTCTGGCCTATGCAGATTTTCATGAGTGAGGGTTTATATGTGTGTGGTTGATGCATGAGCATCAACTAATCCCATGCAGCTACTCTTGTGCTCTGTATGCACAAAAATGCATATTATATGCATTCTATCTACATCCATATTCATGTCAGCTTTAGGCCCCTGTTGCCCTGAGACCTGGATACAAACTCCCAAGGCTGTTTGGGAAGATGGCATAAGCCATCCCACACCCTAGACTCTGATTGGAGGAGAGCAGGAGCTCTTTGGCCACCCCAGAGCTTATCTATTCCCGACCTCAAACACAGGGACTCTGATGCCAACTGTGTGTGTGTGTGTGTGTGTGTGTGTGTGTGTGTTCAACCACACTGGATGGCCAAAGGCTCTGCTTGTTCCCCAACTGGGCAGGGCTGGCACAGACAGCCATCCACCTCTCCTGGAGCCACCTGCCTCCAGAAAGGGGCAGGATTCAGCAAGTGCTCCCCTCCACCCAGCACAGAGAGGAAAGCCTGGAACAGCCATCTGGCTGGGTTGGGCAAAATCCTACAGAATGACTAATCCTCTTCAACCACACTTCCTCCCTCACAGGCAGACACACCCTCCCTCCCCTCTCACACACTCACACTCACATACCCACACACAAAGACACCATCACATTCGCTCTACTCAGACATAAAAACAGGGTGGACACACCCTGCATTCACCAGCCCACAAAGACCGTTACTTGCACACACTCCACATATAACCCACATCCATGAGTTGCAGACACTTGAATGCGTGACCACACAGAGCCCCACCCTGACATTCTTTTCCCAACCAACCTCTTCTCATGCCCCAAAGCCCTCCCTACAGACGAATATTCTGAATCCGGAAAAGACAGAGAACGCAGGCCACCCTCTCCAACTCCCAGCCCTCAACCCCTTCCTTGCTTGATCCCAGAATCCCACCCGAGCACTCACACTTTCCTGGGCTCCTGGGCTCCTGGCCTCTGTAGCTCTCAGACCCGCCTTCCTCTCCGCGCGTCGCCCCCGCGCTCCTACTCATCACGTGTAACGTCACGCCTGACGCTAACCAGCAGGAGGGGCGGGGGCTCCCCGGGCGCCTCCGCCCGGCGTGCCCAGGGATTGGCAGAACCTGGGGGCGGTGGGTGTCATTTTGGGGCGACGTCCCCAGCCCTGGCCAGCAGGATCCAGCCCCAGGCTGCCTCCCAGAACCAATCCCGGCTCCGGGATCGGTTCTGGCCTCATCCCCAGCCAGAGAGAGGAGGAGAGGAGCCACGGTTGCTGCCCCCCTTTGTTTGCAGTCCCCAGGCTGGTCTCGGGAGGCACCCGGCCTGGGCAGCAAGGGGTCTAGGTGTACAGGGCGAAAGCTCGCAGCGCGCAGGGCTCAGGCAGGCGACGTGGAGGGGCCATCCATCAGAGGACTCGGATTACCGCCTGACTTGTTTACTTGATGGCTGCCTTGGCAGTGGCTTTTGCCTACTTGGCCCCCTGGGCTCCTACCCCACTTCCCGCAAGCTCCTTCCTTTCGCAGCCCTTAAATTCACACCCCTTCACAGTCCTGTTCTGCTCATGCCTGTGCCCCTTCTGTGTCCCCAGCCCTTTCCTCCTCCCCAAACCCCTCCTTACTCCTCTCTGTAACCCCTAGCTCCACTGGGTCCCAGGTTCCCTTATGCCCCCAACCCCTACCCCTGCATCACAGACAGCTGTCCCAGTCCCTGCCCTGGGAGGCGAAAGAGCAGAAGGCTCAAGGTAGCTCTGTCAGCATCAAGCAGGTGGATCAGAAAGGTTCTTCCTGCCCCTAGTGTCCTGGGACCAGCTGCCCCTCCTTTCGACCTTTCTGTAATTGGGTGGACAGAGAGACGCTTTCTGACATAAAAGGAGGATGCATGCGAAGAAGGCAGCGCTCAATCACACACACACACACACACACACACACACACACACACTCACAACACACTCTCCCAGTCACAGTACAGAGCACGCCTGCCGCACACCCAGGCGCCCGCCCACTGCAGGCTCACGCCCTGCTCTGCCCAGGTGGCATTCCCTCACTGAGACCTCAGGGGTGACCGCGGACCAGTGGCAATTCCGTGAGCGCTGGTAGCTAGCTGGCTTGGTCTGGAGAAGACGCGGTTCTGGGCTCCCCTGCGGTGAACCGGTAGGGGGAGTCAAGCTGAGAGGCCCACGCCCTAAGTTCGAGGTCGAGGTGGGGCATCGGAACTCGAACTGGAGCATGTAGAACCCAGTGGCCCCAGCCCAGGTGACAAATGGCTGTTCTGGGAGCCCAAGGGAGGTGGCGGAAGGGAATGAATGGCGGTCCTCCCAGCCAATGGGAGCGCGGGACCTCTCAGGCCAGCCGGGTTCCTGCCGCCTCGGCGAGGGGTGGGCGGGGTCCCCCGCTGCGGCAGTCGCTCGCGCCCGCGGGCGGGCGAGGCCGGCGGCGGCCGCACACACTAGCAGGTGAGGGGGGCCGGGGCCGATCCCAAGAAGTGGGGGGCCGGGAGGGCCGAACCAAGGATGGGGTGCTTGGTTCTGGGATCCAGAGCTACTCCAGGAGATTTGGCCCCTGTTTGTACGGGATGTTGTGGGACTCTTGCCAGCAGGTTTTCCCCACAAGCCTGCGAGAGATTCACGCAGCCTCTTTAGACCGGAGAGGAGAGGGGACGGAGGGGACAGTAGCCTGGAGCCTGGGGATCTGTGAGGGCCGGGAAATCTCTGGGGTCTTTGTCTGCAGCTGTCCCAGGTCCTGAAGCCCTGCCCTCGAGGCCTGAGCACCGGGGGCTGGTTCCCTACCCACATACACAGGAAAGGTGTTCAGTGAACTGTCCTGGTCCCAATTTCTCTCACACCGCTTGAAGCCCCAGAGCCCGCAATAATCCCATCTCCACTCTCTCAACCTCTACTGAGGCTTGGGGACCGAATAGATGACTCAGCTGAGAATAGGAATGAGGGGTGAATGAGAGGTTCCCATCCGCCTTGTGTGAATAGCTCCAGAAGTCCACGATGGTGCCTGGACTGGGCAGTTCTCTGGCCGAGGTGGAAGAGGTGAGGGGTCTTAGGTATGGGAGGGCAGGATGCTCAAACTAGGGAAAAGGGTGGAAATTCTGGGGGGCAGCATTCGCACCCCTGATCCCACCCCCTTTCCTGCGCAGGCCTGAAGCTCACACTTCGGAGAGGCAGCAGAGGTGGGGGATCCTGGCCATTGGTACCCCAGTACTGCACGGAAAGCTCATGGAACCCTGAGCTCCTAGGGCCCTCCCCTCGAGGGCTAACAGGTTCCTTATGGACCTGTAGTCTAGCCGCCATGGCGCACGGTTTCTCAGTGGGCTTCGACCCACTGGGCCTCGGAGACCTAAGCTCAGGCTCTCTGAGCTCCCTCTCCTCCCGAGGCCACCTGGGCAGCGACTCGGGCTCGGCAACGCGATACCTGCTGAGGAAGCAACAGCGGCTGCTGAATGGGCCCCCCCGCGGAATCCGAGCCTCATCACCCATGGGCCGCGTCATCCTCATCAACTCCCCCATCGAAGGTGGGGGCGGGGCCCAGCCACTAGCCTGGAACGGAGGGTGGGGGGAGGGGACATATGGCACTAGGTAGGCAGAGCCAATATGGGTGGGGGAGCGCAAGAGATGGGAATCTTTGGGATGGGTAGGCAGGGCCCTCTGGGAACCCATACACTCTTTCTCATCTGCCTTTTTTCTCCTTCAGGCCAATCCTTTAGCGCTCCAGGATTATAGAGAGGTCAGAAGTAGAATGGGGCATGGCAGCAGGAAAAGGTGTGTGAGAGAGAGTGTGTGTGTGTGTGAGATGCTAGCCCCCAACTGAGCTAGGCAAGGTATTGAATTGGCCCCTCCATCCCATGGACTCTACCTTTCTCCAAACCCATCTGTGTATGTCTTTGAGGGGTGGGCAGGATGGAGGACATCCTCCATCAACCAGCCTACTGTGTGATCAGCTCTGTGCTGAGCTATGAAGAGCCAGTGCCCAGTTAGGCAGGCAGATGACAGGCTTCACCTGCAAAAGTAGGGAAATGAAGATAGAGCAGCAAATCTTTAGAAGAGGAGGGAGAAGAAGAGGGTGGAGGGTCAGGGAGGGAGCCCCAGGGCTGAGCCCTGAAGGAGGGGAGACCTAAGCTTATGTAGATGCTTAATGCCGTTTCGTTGTACACCGATTCTGTGCCAGCCCTGGTTAGGTCCTGCAGGGAACCTAGAGGAAATAAGGCTCAATCTTCACCTTCAGAAATTTATAGTGTAGCAGGCCTTAGAGACAGCAATGAAAACAGCTGGTGAAGGGGAGGAGGTATCACAAAGGATGAAAATGGAAAGCATGGAGCACTATGGGGTGGGCCCTTAGGAGACAGCCTGGCTGCAGTGACAGGTGTGAGGCGACAAAGAGCAGGTGAGCAAAGCAGGACCTTGAATGGCAGCAGGGAAGTGGGGGCCCCCTGGGCCTGAGCTTTCTGTGGACAGGACCAGATAAATATCTCCAGCTCCCCTCCTGTCTGTCAGCCAGCAGAGCACCCCTGGCTGAATCCCAGACTGTACTTTTCAGACCCTGCTCCTCCCCTCTAACCCAGCTGGGCATCTCTGCTCCTCTACGTGGGCCTCCGGGTCAGGGGTGCAGCATGATGCTCAGAGAACAGGCTTTCCTCCACCAGTGGTCCAGCGTACTCATCCCCATCATCCACACACTTGGCCTCCCCCTCAGGTGAGCAGCAGGGCACTGCTGATTGTCACCACTGTCACTCTGGTCATGGAACAGAAAGAAGTCCCCAGAGGAGCTGCCACGCATGGAGGGGGGAGGAGAGCACTACAGCACTGCCCTTGTAGGTACCATTGTGTAACAGAACTGGGTATAGTTCCGCCTCACACACTGGACACACCATGCCCAAGGGGCATTACTCTGACCTGCTGGCCCCTAGCCTGTCCAGGCTGGGAGCCTCTAAGCTCAGAATCTTCCCCTCTGCCTGAGCACAAGTAGCTCCCAACTTACACAGCTTGGAACCCCACCCCTGTGTTATTATTTAGACCACTCGGGCCTAAAGTAACTGATAAGGGAGACACAGTGGGAAGAGGTACACTGCCACCCACATCAACCTCATAAGTTCCCACCCAGCTGGTCCCAGAGAAAATGCATTATCTTTAATCCAGACTAGCCTTTTCTCCTCTCTCTCCTAGCTCATTCATTTAGCCATTTACTCAAAAAAATATAATACTTAGCAAATACCAAGCACCGGGCAACATACTGGGGATAGATTGGTGGAAAAGAATTACAAAGTGCCTACCATGGCTGAGCTCACAGCCTAGTGAAAGGAGATAGATAAATAAATAATATACAAAAACCAAATAATGAGAAAGGCTGGTGAGAATCTGGAAGGTACTAATTCAGGTGATATGATCGAGGAGTGTTTCTCAAACTTTAGAATACATCTGAATGGCCGGGGCGGGGATTGGAAGGGCATGTTAAGTGACAGATTGCTTCGTCCTACACCCAGAGCTTCTGATTCAGTGAGTCTGAGGTAAAGGCTGAGAATTCGCATTTTTAATCGTTTTCTGGGTGCTGTTGGTCTGAGGAGCACGCTTTGAGAACCACTCTAACAGAGAGGAGGGAAAGGACTTTCTTCGTTAGGGCAGTCCAGGAAGGCTTCTCTGAGAAAGTGATGTGTGAGCCAGGAGAGCCTGAGAAGGAGGAGCTGGCATTGTGACGGTCTGGGCAAGAGTATCACAGGCGGAGGGAACACTGAACGGATTGGCCTGTGAGAGGAAGAGGAAGGATGTCAGCGTGACCAAAGCTCAGGGAGACCAGGGACGGTGGCCAGAGGCGTGGGGAGAGAGGTGGGCAGAGGAAAGCCCGTGGAGGGCCTTACTGGACATGGAGGAGTGTGGGGCTCCTGCACTGAAGTTTTTAATCAGGGGAAAGGCAATCTGTTATAAAAGCTGACTGTGGCCACTGTGTAGAGAATGGATTAAAGAAGGCGAGAGTGGAAGTGGGGCGAGAGTGAGGAGGCCGCGTAATGCCTGGAGGAGGAGTCAGTGGCCTGGGCTCGGGCAGTGGAGGTAGAAAATGTTCCATCCTCAGATGCCCCAAGCTCTTAGGCTCAAAATCCCAGATTTGGCATCCTCCTGGCCGAGGGCCCTAGGAAAGCCCCAGAGATGAACTGAGGAGAAAAATGTTTGGGGGATGGGAGAGCAAAAGCCTCCTTGGTTGGGCTGAAAAGATCCCAAAACCTGTGCAGATAGAATTGGCTAGAAAGCCCTAAGATCTCCACATCTCTGTTCTGCACCATCCCTGCCCACAGGCTGCCCTTGGGGATTTCTTTCTGAGCTGCCCTGGTCAGGCACTGTAACCTGATTTCTCTTAGATCAAATAGAAGTAAGTGTGCGTGTGTGTGTGTGTGTGTGTCTGATTTCTTCTGAAGTAAGCCTTGCCCAAAAATCTCACCTTCTCACCTGGGACCCAACTTATTCCTCTAGTCTTTTCGCTTTTCTCCAACCAAAAGGCCTCCTCAAGGATCCACCTTTGTTCACTTCATCTCTTCA